GGAACCAGGTTGACCTCATTGACTATGAAGTCATTCATTGGGGTTGTTAACCTGAGCCTAATAAGGAAAGTCTTTGCAGACCAATATATCTATGAGATTAGAATCTCCTCAGTTGAGGACTGACTCCGAGCTGGCTGACCACAGCCAGTGTACCGTGCAAAATAAAACAAAAAAAATTATAACCAGGAGATTAGAATCTGCTCAGTTTAAGTGACTAACTCCAAGCTGGCTAATCACGGTGCACAAGTAAATAAAGGGTGACTTGGTGATGGGATACCAGCCTCTGTGCAGTTATTTCAGTTATGGTAATTTAGCGCTGGGAAAGTCAGTTGTGTGTGATATTATTTCTGGATATAAAAAAAAACTGACCCCAGGTCATATCTGCCAGTTGTCTGCCCCTCTTCTACAGTTATGTTCACTCTTGTGTGTCATTGCAGAGGGATTATGCATGTCCACCAATGCTCTCATTACTTTTAGAGAGAGGTGGGCTCTGCGGGGGATACACTGCTTTATTTCCTTCTCAGAGTCCACATTGATTTAGCCCCTTCCTATTCTCCCTACCCTTCCTATTCTCCCTACCCTTCCTTCACTTTTAATGGTTTGTATTGCCCATAATGAGCTTTGCATATAAATAACCAGTTAGCTAAATGGCTGTTTTACTGGTGGTGGTTAATTTTGGGGGAAAAACATCATGTGATTTGGTGGTGGGACAAAAGCCACTTAGTTATGTGTAAGAGCATGTCTGGATACAAAAAAAAAGCAGATCCCGGTTTGCACTGCCCACAACAAGCTTTGTATGTAAATATCTCATTGGCTGCATGGGTGATTTACTGGTGGTGGTTAATAGTTAAAGATAAAAAAACAGTCATGGTGATTTGGCATTGGAGGAAAAAGGAATGTTCAGTTGTGTTCAAGAGTACTTCTGGATATATAACAAAAAGGTAGAGGTAGGGATGGGCCTGCAGAATTGTCTTGGGCTAGAACTAGCCTATGTATGCCACTAGTAGTGCCTCTGTTTTGGAGTTAAATGATATTACTTTCCAGTTGGGCTTCCTGAGTTATGACATTGGTGAGAAGAGTAAAGAAAAGTTTGGATAGCCTTGCCTTTCCACAAACCCATAAGACTATGACAATGCCTTGGTAAAATTAATAACGTGATATAGAATGGTCTCCTCTTTTCATGGCATTTTTCTTGCAAATTGTAGATCTTTCAGTTCTGAACCATACTAGTATTCAGAATTGATGCCTTTAGCCAAGATCTGTATTCAGATAAGGTGAGAAGAGGTGCCATCTGTTTTTCTGTCTGTTGTAAGGTGCAAATGATTCTATCCATTTATTGAGCAGTGACACTAAGTTCCAAGTAGCTATTGAAGCACACAGATCGTGGTGGATCAGCGCCTTATTAGTGCTGCTTTACTTAAGGTGAGGAGTGACTGACCAGTGAGATAGCATGGTCTCTCCCATGTGATGAGGATAGCCCTGTGAACACCCAGTTTTGTTGGGCTTATCGTAAGTGTTGTGTCTAGTGTTGTTTTAATGCTATGAAGCAAAATTGGAGTGCCTTCTCCAGGAAGCAAGACTGAGCAAAATGTATGGAGACCCTGCACTGGTCAAACATCACAGACTCCTTTCAATCTCCTTGATTAAATCCAGAAGAATGCAAAACACTAGATTTGGCACTGGTTTAAATATAGGTGTACCAGAAAGATGACACATTTGGCCATCAATCTGCTTTTGGTGTTCACTCCAGATTTTTTTTTTGTCAGAGTTTACTCCCTTAACTTCCATCTCTCCCAAAGTATTCACAAGGCTGTGGAACTATTCATACACTGTTGGGCATTTGGATCATGACTGGCATGGCATGCCCTTATCCATCAGACATAAACACAATGTTTTGAGGATATGCCATTTCAGAGTTCCTCTCAGCTTTAGTCCAAGGCTTATATCACTCAAATAGGCATAGGTAAGGAGTTGCCAGTGAAACTGTGAAAGTTACACAATTGGCTGTCTTTTTCACTTGGTTGCTAGCCAGCTGTGTAGACTGAAATTGATAAGCAAAGTAGCTGAGTTCCTTTGGTGACTCATGCTTCAAAGGTCGTAAAGTCTTATATCACTTCAGAAGCCAAATTATGACCATGATAAGACCATTTAAAAAATGGGAACAGGAGTAGGCCATTTGGCCTCTCTAGACTGCTTTGCCTGTAAAAGGATCATGGTTGATCTGACACTTCTGACATTCACTTTCCTTCCCTTTCCTCATAATCCCTGATTCCTCCACTGATCAAAAATCTATCTCTGCTTCAAATATACACAAAGACTCAGCCCCTACAGATCTCTGAGGTAAGAAGTTTGAAATCACTCTCAAACCTCTGAAGAAATTCTTCCTCATCTCAGTCTTAAATTGGAACCCCATTATTCTGAGATTATGCCCTCTGGTCCTAGACTCTCTCTCATGAGGCAAAATCTCCTCTCAGCATTTACCTTGTCAAGCCCCTTAAGAATCATATATATTTCAATGAGATCATCTCTCATTCTTCTAAACTCCAGACAGTAGAGACCCAACCTGTTTAATATTTGCTTAAAAGACAATCTCCCCACACAGGGATCATCTTAGTAAAACTCCTCTGAACTGCCTCCAATGAAATATTTCCTTCAACAAGGGGACCAAAACTGCTCTGTAGTCCAGATGTGGTCTCACCAGCAACTTGTACACTTGCAGTGAGACTTCCCTACTCTTATATTCCAATCCCCTAGAAATAAGGGCCAATATTTCATTAGCCTCGATTACCTGCTGTACCTGTGTGCTAGGTTTGTGTCTCCTGCACAAGTAGATCCAAGTCCCTTTGTCTTGCAGCTTTCTGCAGTTTCTCCCAATTTAACTAGTATTTTTTTTGTTCGCCCTTCCAGAATGAACATTTTCCCACATTGTACTCCATTTGCCAACATTTTGTCCACTTATTTAACCTACCAATATCTTACCATCTATTCCTCTGTCATCTGCAAATTTGGCTACAGTACATTTATTCACTTCCTTCTTCCAACTCATTTATATTGTAAACAGTTGTGGTCCCAGTACACATCTCTGCGGAACCCTACTATTCACAGGTCACCAACTGACAAAAGAATGTTTTATCCCACTCACTGTTTCCTGCCCATAAGCTAGTACTCTATCCATACCAACATCATACCTCCAACACCATAGGCTCCAACCTTACCTCCACAAAAGGTTTAGTTGTATCTTGTCAAACATCTTATCCAAATACAACACATCTACTGGTCCTCCTCTATCCGCTCTGGTTGAGGGTTCCTCAAAAATCTATTTAATTATTCTGATATGATTTCATTTTCATGCTAGATTAATCATAGTCTAGATTTTCCAAATGTTTTGCTATTCATTCTTTAATAATTGATTCCAATACTTTTCAAACAATAGATATTAGGCTAATTGGCCTGCAGTTAACCGCTTTTTACCTCCCTCTCTTTTTGAATAGGAATGTCATATTGGCAGTTTTCCAATTCTCTGGCACTTCTCCAGAATTCAAGGATTTTTGGAAAATTAGTACCAATGCATCCAACCCTATCTCTGTAGATTCCTCTTTTGGGATACTGGGTTGCAAACCATCATGGCCAGGGAACTTATCTGCCTTTAGCCAAATTAGTTTTTCTAATACAGCTTCTTTAGTGATGTTGACGGTACTTAATTCCTGCCCTGTATTCTTTATTATTGCTGGAAGGTTTGAAGTATCTTGCACCATAAAGACAGATACAAAATGTGTCCAACTCCTCTGAAATTACCTTGTTCCCAGAACCATCTCCCCAGATTCATTTTCTAAGGGGCTAATGTCCATTTGACCTCTCTCGTTTTAAATATTTAAAGAAGCTCTTATTGTCAGTTCTTATGTTCCTCACTAGTTGGCCCTCAGTTATTTCCTCTATCCTTTCAGTTCATCTTTGATGGATTCTGAATTTATCTCAGTCTTTGGGCTATCACTGACTTTGGCCTCCTGATTTTTTACTTTGAACTTACTCTCAACTTTCTTAGATAGCCATGGTTGGTTTATCCCTTTTTTTGAAGTCTTATCTCCTTTACCTGTGATACGTTTTTGCTGAAAGTCATGAATTACCTCCTTAAAGGTCAGCCACTCTATCAAACAACATTATCCATGTCTAAAACTTACCAAGCAAGGTATTCAATCAACTGAAGTATTTAATTCAGGAATTTAGAAAAATGAGAGGAAATCTAATTGCAATATAAAAAAAATTGACAAAGTAGATGTACAGAGTAGGTTTCCTTTTGGGGGAAATCTAGATAGAGGTCATAACTTTTGGATTAGAGGTAGCATTGGAAAGAAATAAATTTATTTACATATCAGCTAACATGGACAGTGGAAAGGAAAGCTGGGTGGTCAGCTATTTAGTGGGAATAGAGTCAAGCGAGCAGGACTTACATGTCAGGGGACAAGATGGATCCAGATGTAAAGGGAAACAGGAGAGAAATTAAAGAAATATTAAAGTTCAGGATTAGGGCAGGGGATGCATTCAAGATTGCTTGGCTAGAAGTTTAGTGAAAGGGACAAAGCAGTCCAGAAGCTCAGGGTTAAAAAGGAGGGTGGAGGATTATTAAGATGCTGATTTGGGCAATAGAAGAAAGTTGAGAAGGGGGGGAGAAAAAAGGAAAATAAAGGGGTCCAGAAAGAGAAGCATAAGAATCCATGATCTATCTCTCTCTGACTGCAATTCAGAGTAACATCAGAAATGGTAAGCTGGCAAGTGTGAGTATGAGCAAAGTCTACAGCCTGTAGTAATTGCATGACTGTTTTCATATTGACTATTAATCACTAGCCATGACAAATTACTGTTCATTAACACCTTGGTAATGTCAGACCAATAACAGAAACAAGCGTGACAGATTGAAACATAGCATTTTGTCCAGGTTTTTCTTAGAAATAAATTCCTTCAAAACGGTAATGTTAGAGCTGAATATAAATTGACAAGTTGAATAGTTTCTTCCCATTTATTACAAAGTTATGAGTATTGTAGTGCAGGCAGATTATTAAATTGCAAGGAATATATTATCATTTGGTACATACAATACACAATAGATCAAACTGACTTATTTAAAATGCTATAAGCCAAAGCATTTGAAAGAAAAAGTTAAAGGTACAGAATAACCATGTGAAAATAAAATGTAATTAGTATTCATGATTTCTTTCTCAATTTAAGCAAATACAACATGGGAAAAAGTTCCACTTGCTACCGTGGTAATTCCAGTTTCTAAGTACAAATCACATTAGCTGTTGTTGGAACCAGTAAATTTTAAAAATGTTGATGTGTCCCAATAGAACATTTCACAGAACTTCATAGATTAGACTTAATTTTTAAAAATTGACAACCCATTATGAAATGTCGAAAACAAAAAGTGACTGTATATAGAATACTCATATGCAATTATTGGGGCAATAGATTAATAAAATGGGCCATCCAGGTGCCTACTGTTTCAGACATTTAGCTTTTTCACACATTGATAATTATTTGTACAATAGCACTTGAGAAGCAGTGGGACATTTGTGTTTGAAAATTGTAGAGAGATGCAATGAAAAGGAAAACTATTTTTTTCCCAAATAAAGTCTCTCTGAAGTGGAGAGGCTCACGGGTGGCTTCCAACTTATAAAGCAAATGTCTCTTGCACATTTTGGCAAGTTATGTGCCATACCACAATAATGATCTCTTGTAAGATTGATCAATCAGAACAGATTGAAAATTATACATGTAGATCAATATTTTACATAACTTGATGTTAGTATTAGTCGGCAGCAAAAGTCTTATCTGGTGGACTTTGTTTTAAGCATTAAAAACAAATTATACTGACCCCTTTTCTATGCTACCAAGTTTAAATTCCCACTTTGCCCAGTAGTTTGATTCAAAACAATCATCATTTACTTCAAAGCCTCAAACTCAGAAAATTGGCTCAGTTTTTAGTTTGATCTGTTTCCAATGTTTATTGGAAATCTGCATATTAAAGTGAGGACAGGAATAGTGTTGAGTCACTCCTCACCTGGCTGAGGAATCACAATAAATCTACCGGCCTATCAAAGCCAAAATTTAATATTTCAGGCAAAGATAGAAAAATATTTATATATATTTGCGATTTCTCAGCGATGGCTTGACTCACAGAAGAGACATTAGTGAATTTTCACCAAAATCACTACTTGCCAGTGGACAACAAGTGTGACTGAAGCCAGTGTGCCCTTTAGATTCCTAGTATGAAGGTGGACTAACTAAACCATGGAGCTAGAAAACTAAAGGTAGAGAAAAGATAACCAACACCACAAAATATTTCAGCTGAGAGTCTTTTCGTACCCAAACTCATAAATGCTCAAACTACCAGTCTTTCTTCATTCACTTTCACTTTCATTTAAAAGCAAATGGCAATGCCCTTGAAAATTTTTAAATCTACTGGTGTCAAAGGTTCAGTCACGTATAGTTTCTCTGGACTGGGCTTTCAGAAACAAAAAACGTAAATTAAAACCAAGTTAGGTGCAAATTTCGAAGTCCACTGAGTTGACCATAATGGATTAAATGAAATAAGATCACCAACAGTCAACCTATTCTTCATGAAACAGGAAAAAAAAAATGCATAACAAACTCAAGTTTAAGTCATTTTAGTGGCTGGATTATTACCAATATTTTTTACAACTTTTTGAAAAGAAAAAGGAGTACATATAGACTTTGTACAGTTGCTTATTAGTACAGATATTACGCGCACACAGTAAATAGATGCAAACATGCAAGTCAATGTTGTTCATACTTGAACCAAAAGTCAGTATAAGTGATAAAATTATTCCAAGAAATATTGTGATTATGTTAACATGCATTTGATGCAGTTGCCCCCAAAAAGTACACTACACACCTGACACAGATTATGGTGCATAACACGATAACAGTGCCTGAAAATACTTACAGTTAGATATTTTTGCATCAAGTACAATAACGTTTGCATAATCTCCACAATTATTGTAATTTTTTTTTAAAAGAAAAAACATGAACTGTGTAGTCAAATGTGAATTACCTTTCTAGGGTAATTTAGAAAGACTTTATTTATTAGCTCAATAGATGAAGGACCACCATGAAGAATTTTAGTGAAACTTTCAAGTAGACACCATGTTATGGTAATAGCACACAAGACATGTACCTATAATGCAGAAAATATCAAACGCCTTGTGAAAAATTACTTTGGGACACTATTAGAAAATTACAAATGCAAAGACTTTCAGTCATACATTGGTCTGATCTGAATTTGTAATTCAGACTCAGAAGAGAGGTACAAGATGTATACATTACAATGAATTACTGGAAGGGGGAACTTAATTAGCATCACCTACGATTAAAAATCTAAAACACAGAATGCAACAATAACCATCTGCATCAATTAGGTTGATTGAAATTCACACCAGTTTGGTAGTAAGTTGGGCAGTGCAGGGTTATCAGTGAAACATTTTAGTTCATAGGAGGAGGAGAATGAAGAAAGAGAAAACTAATTCCAATTTTTACAGAATGGAAGATATAGACGTCATGCTTCAAATTTCTCCCTAACAATAACAAACTTGTAAGAGAGATTGGGGTAAACATTTCTACTTTAGGAACAGTACAGCAAACCACAGTATTCAAGATCAATATTATCTTTATGGCTCAGTGGGCATCTTTCCTGACATATTTCTTTCTACACAAAGTTTCCATTGGCAATTATGACAACCACTACGAATCTCTGAATTGTAGAGTTACGGAAAGAGACGAAGACACATGCTCACAACTCCACCCTCATCACTGACCAGCAACTCACACTGGAAAGTGCAGTACAGATACTAAGATTAAAGTCAGCTGCATCTTAATTTTCAAAAAACCTGCCAATTTGTTGTCCAGATGAAGAGTTGGTGAGACACCACTAAGCTATCATCCATGGAACTGTATTTAGCATGAGCTGTTATATTCAAAGGTGAAATGGATTAGGAAGAAATAACAGCTGTTAACCTATTTATGGTTGTATATTACATTTCACATTGAGATTGAGTAACCTAACAGCAAGTGTTTCATGGAATCCATTTTAAACTTCGAAAAAGCTGCACTGATATTCATAACTGCTACAAGCTGCTACCATTCTTTTACACTAGAAGCAGACTAGCAACAAACCGGTTCAGCAGTTGAGTGAAAAATAATTCTGAAAGACAAGGTAGGAAAGAAAGAAAGTAAATGAACTATCTTAAATACTTAAACTGTGTACACAATGCTCGTGCTGTCAAAAGCTCAACTTTGACGGTCGTGTGCGTAGCGTAATGAACAATGTTACAATATCCAATGTGCTCTTCATTCAAAAGTGGTCTTGAATACTTGACCTGACAATAAGCCAGGAGTAGGAAAATAGGTCTTTGAGAAATCAAAACTTTCATTGTTGAATTGGTTGTACACTCCTTGTAAATCCTTAACATAATATACTTCACTAATTAGTGCATAGAATAGGAAAAACTTATTATAGGCGAGCAACGAAATTAAATACATAATTGTACATTTTTCAATTATCATCAATAAAACTTTGAAGACATGGGTGTTAATGGCATCACTCAGTAGACACCTTGTTCTCCCCAATCGATGAAAAAAATAGACTAAAATGCCTCAGGATGAACTTTTGGTCTCTGTTAGGTAGAAGCGATACATGAGTCCTACAACGCCAGCTGCAAAGGCAGGAATCAGCCAGTTTGTCCACCAACTAGAAAAGAAAACATTATTTTTTGAGTGATCCAAGTAATATATTTACCCATTGTTGAAAACTAACCAAAGCTTTATTTTTTATGTGAATTAAACTAGTGTGGGCATGTAGAGAAAAAAACCTGAGATACAAGTCATCAAACGTTGACTTTAATAGATTTTTTTTACCCTGTTGGAAGGGTGGAAGATTTATTTACAATTTAACATATTTAGAATCTCAAAGTACTTCGTCAAGAATACAATTAATAATTACAAGAACACATGACTTTGATGATCTATTAGTGTGCCACTAAATCAAGTGGCACAGCCTTCTTCCAGACCAAATCCCTAGGATTAATCAACAGTTCTGGAGAAGTGCAGATATCTGCAAATGAATGCAAAGCAAGGTACCCCAAAGTTGACCATTAAAGAACTGAAAATAATTTAATAAAATGGAAGTTTTATTCCTCCATCTGGAATGTTGCCAGTGCTTGGTGCTGCATTTAATATATATAATCATATACTAAAGGTGATCTAAAACATCTGAAGAGGAGAGTGGAAGAACAGAGAGCTCCGTTGAAAAGCAAAGGAAAACCAAGAGACACTGGTCTTTTTTTTTTAAAGACATTGAAACTTATCCTTTTAGAGCTCAAACTCACTGAGCTTTGCAGACAACTTCATTTTAGGCTCACCTGTGTCCAAGTTGATAACTAAATATTAAAATACTTTGAATAAGATAGAGAGCTGAATTTAATTTTATTTAAATTCATCACATTTGGAACATTAGCCATGGCTAAATTTGGAGCAGTCTTGCCTAAATCACAAGGTTCCACATTCAATTCACAATTCACAGCTTCAACACAAAGAAAACAAAAATCAAGGCTGACATTCCAGTAATGATGGAGGCATGCACTGTTGGCCATTTTGCTAATGAGACTGCAAACTAAGGCCGCAGTCTGCCTGCTTGTTGGATGTAATAATTCCATGGCATAATTTCTAAGAACAGGAGAGTTATCCCTGGTTTCCTGGTCAATATTTATTCCTCAATGTAATTAAAATGCATATTGCCATTTGGTGTCTATGGAAACTTACTGTCACAGATTAGGTGCTACATTTCTCACTTAACAGTAATTACATATCAAGTAGCACTGGTTTGATTTTCAGGTGTCTGGAAGATGGTTGAGAGTGAGTGTTTGACACAGCATGTTACTGATTCATCAGATTGAACTCAGTAAATTCAAGCCAAAAAATGATAAAGGAATTTGGGGGGTGAGAATATGGCTTTGAGCTAGATGATCAGTCATGATCTGGAATAGTGCGGCAGGCTCAAGTGGTCTTCTGTTGCTCCTGTTTTCCTTAAGATTCAGCCACAATGCTGAGAGCCTGCAGTCATACATAAGGCAGGCCAGAAAGGACAGCATTTCCTTTCCTAAAGTACATTAGTTAACCAGACAGGTTTTTATGCCAACAATAAATGCTATTGGACTAGATTGTTTCAATTCTATCTTTGTTATACAAATTCAAATATCATTATCTGCTGTGGCAGGACTTGAATCCACATTTCCACAGCATTAGCCTAGATTTCTGTATTACTATTCCAATTATCTGACCATGTCATGACCAATGACAGCTGGTGGAATTTAAATTCACTGAATAAATTTGGAATTATAAAGCTAGTCTCAAGAATGATGCTGTGATAATATTCTGACAAGCACTATGACTTACTCAGTACTGTACTGGAATGCAAGTTAGAAAACCCATGTGGGAACAAATTAATGCAGATGCTGGAATCTGTGCTGGAAACAACAAAGGCTGGAGATCACAGTGGGTCAGTCAACTGTAAAGTGCTGGTGAAGAAAAGATGTTGATAGTTAAAGTGATCAGAATGTGAGAATGGAAGAGCAGTGGTGTGTCTAACTGCCAGACTTGAAACAGCAGACAGTTGCATTGGGGTGGGGGGAGGGGAGAGAGGACATGGTAACAGAGAATGAAACAAGTAAAGCTAAAAGAAAGGGAAGAAATGGGAGTTGGTTCATAATTCAAAGATGTTGTTGAACTCAATATTAAGTCCGAAAGATTCTGCATTCAAAGGATCATTTTCCGCCATTTCAGAGAACTCCAGCAGAATGCCACCACCAAACACATCTTCCCCTCACTCCCCCGTTTGCATTTCGCAGGGATCGTTCCCTCGGGACTCCCTAGTCCATTCTTTGACCAACACCAACACCACCATCCCCTTCCCATTGCAATTCCCACATAACTGCAGATGATGCAACACCTGCCCCTTCACCTCCTTCCTGCTCACAATCCAAGGGCCTAAACAGCCTTTCCAGGTGAAGCAGCACCTTCTCCAATCTTGTGTAGTATACTGACTGCACCCAACGTGACCTATTCTACATTGGAGAAACCAATCACAGACCGGGTGAGCGCTTTGCAGAACACCTTGGGTCTGTGTGCAGGCATGACCCGGACTTTCCTGTAGCCAGTCATTTTAACGCAGCGTCATGCTCATGCCCACTTATCTGTCCTCGGCTTGCTGCGGTGCTCCAGTGAATCACCTGTTCGAATCCCGCCATGGCAGATGGTGGAATTTGAATTCAATAAATATCTGGAGTCGAATGATGACCATGAATCCATTGTCGACTGTTGGAAAAGCCCATCTGGTTCACTAATGTCCTTTAGGGAAGGAAACTGCCAGCCTTACCAAGTCTGGCCTACATGTGACTCCAGACCAACAGCAATGTGGTTGACTCTTAACTGTCCTCTGGGCAATTAGGGATGGGCAATAAATGCTGCCTAGCCAGCGACGCCCTTATCCCATGAATGAATATTAAAAAAAATCATAGCACAAACTGGAGGAACAACATCTCATCTTCAGACTGGGCACTTTACAGCCTTCTGGACTTAATATTGATTTCAACACCTTCAAATTATGAACAAACTCCTATTTCTTCCATTTCTTTTCGCTTTATTTGTTACATTCTCTGTCACAATGTCCTCCCCCCCGCCAAACCCAGTGGGACTGTCTGCTCTTTCAAGTCTGGCAGTTATACACACCATTGTTATGCCATTCTTACATTCCGATCACTTAATCTGAATTATCAACATCTGTTCTCCACCAGCACTTTACACCCCACCACTCCCACACCCACCCTCCTCCCCAACTACAGCATAAACGCTGCCCCTGCACACTTCACTTCAGCCCTGATGAAGAGTCATCTCGATTCAAAACAGTAGCTTGCTCTCTCTCCATGGATGACGTCTAACTCACTGTGATCTCCAGCATTTGTTGTTTTCAGAGAAGCCATGTAGTTCACTAACATTGTTTACGGAAGGAAATTTGTTAGCTTTACCTGATTTGGCCTAAATGTGACCCATAACAATTTGGTTGACTCTTAACATCCCTCTGAAATGATCTAGCATGTCACTCAGTTCATAGTCAAATTAGGGACTGGTAACAAACACAAACTGGCCTTGTTAAAACACAAATACCCTACGAAAGAATTTAAAAACTAAACGTGTTGATTGCATTGGTGAAGACTGTAACAGCACATGCTGTGGCAGTACAGCGTATCGTGGGATGCAAATTCCATATTTTTATGTGAACTGCATAGAAAATCAAAAGTTGTTATCAATCTTAATGGCAATGACAGTTTTGCTATCATTACAACTGTAAATTCTAGGCCATTTAGAGGAGTTCAGATTTACCATTTTACATTGCATGGCTTCCAGCACAAATGCCCAATATATTACTGACAAATGTTCTTATCTCCTGCAAGATGCAGTTATCTTCTTTTATCTGATTTAGGGATCTGGAGCAGAAACTAGGTGTTAACCCAGTTACTGCTCTTTAACTCTAGATTGACTGTTACAAGTTTTTATGTCATAGTGAGATGTAATTGCAACTTGCTTGATATCCAGTCCATCCTGGAAAATAAACCCTTCTTTGCCCAATCATCTCATATCATTGCTGAAGAGTATGACAACCAGTGCTATTTAAGTCTATCATACCTGGAATGGCTTGATGTTGTTGTGATTAAAACATCCTGTGTAGAAAAAGCAGGAAAAAATGGTTTAGCATGTTCATCCAAAATTCTTCAGAACTACAAATAATTGAAATAAAATACCAAACATGAAGGCAAATCGCAATAAATCAAATCATAGTTGTCTTGACTTGATAAACATCCCAAAAATATTTACAAAGAAAATTTGAACATCAGTGAGAATGAGGAGGAGTTAATAGTAAATAAGGAAATAACAATGAAATTAACAACTATTTTGCTTCTATTTTAACTATAGAGGTGACAAAAACAGGAGAGGAACTTAGTGAAACTATTATCACCAGAGAAATGGTTCTAATGCTGCTGTGGGCTGACAGGTTCCCATGTCACAATGGATTTCCTCCCACCATCTTAAACGAAGATATGGTGTTAAAATTCAAAAACTCCCTACATTCCAGAAATATTCCATCACACTGGGAAATATAACCCCTCAACTCAACAAGGGAGGGAGGTAGGAAGCAAGAACCTACTGGCCAATTAGTGAGCTTGACATGTGTAACTGGGCAAGTTTAAAATTGATCACTTAAGTATATTATAGCTTAGCACTTAGAAAAACCCAAAGAAACTGGAAAGAGCATAGTTTTGTAAAAGGAAAATCATGTTTAACAAATTTATTGGAGTTCTGAGGATAAATGGGAGACTGTAGACATACTTTGCTTGGATTTCCAGAAGGCATTTGACAAGTGTCATACACAAGGCTATTGCACAAAATAAGAGCTCATTGTCTGGGGGTCACATGTCAGCTTGGATAGAAGATTGGTTGGCTGTCAGAACAGACAGCATGCAAAAATGGGTCTTTTATTGATTGACAGGACATGATGATTGGAGTCCTGCAGGAGTCTGAGTTGACATCTCAGGTTTTTACAAATTTATACCAATGACTCAGATGAGGGGGAACAAAATGACACAAAGAAATGTAGGAACCTACGTTGTGAAGAGAGCATAGGGAGCCTGCAGGCAAACATAGACATGAGTGGGAAAAAAATCTGGCAGATAGGATATAATGCAGTACATGAAGTTGTTCACTTTGGCAGAAATAAATAAAAACAGAGAATATTATTTCGGAGGACAATGGCAGAATTTTAATGTGAAGAAAGCTCTAAATGTTCTAGTGCATGAGTCACAAAACATTAGTATGCAGGTACAGCAAGTAATTGAAAAAACTAATGGAATTCTATTCTTTATTATTACGAGAAGAATTGAAATAGAAATATAGAAACATAGAAAATAGGAGCAGGAGTTAGCCATTCAGCCCTTCGAGCCCGCGCCATCATACAACTCAGTACCCTGTTCCCATTTTCTCTCCACATCCTTTAGCCCTGAGGCCTCTTCTGGAATAAACTGTCCAGTTATGGAGAGGATATTATCAAGCTAGAGAGGATACAGGAGAGATTTACCAGGATGTTGCCAGATATGGAAGGTTTGAGTTATAAAGAAAGGCCAGGTAGGGCTGGGACTTTTTCACTGGAGTGTTGGAGATTGACAGGTGACCTGACAGAAGTTTATAAAACAATGAGAAGTATAGATAAAGTTAATGGTAGTCATCTTTTCCCTCGGATGGGGAATTTCAAGACTAGGGGGCACTTTTTTTTTTTTTAAGGTGAGAGGAGAGAGATTTTAAAAAAGACACGAGAGGCAAATTTTTTTTTTTTTTTTTTTAAAACACAGAGGGTGGTTCATGTGTGCAATGAACTTCCTGAGGAAGTGGTGGATGCGGGTACAATTACAACATTTAAAAGACATTTGGATAGATATATGAATAGGAAAGGTTTGGAGGGATATAGGCCAGGAGCAGGCAGGTTGGACTAGTTTAGTTTAGGATTACATTCAGCAATGGACTGGCTGGACTGAAGGGTCTGTTTCCATGCTGTAAGACTCTATGACTCTATATCTAATTTCTTCTTAAAACAATTCAAAATTTTGGCCTCAACTGCTTTCTGTGGCAAAGAATTTCATAGGCTCACACTCTAAGTGACTAGAAGAATTTTTTTCCTAATCTCAGTTCTAAATGGGCTACTCAATATCTTTAGATCTTGATCCTTGGTTCTGGATGTTTTGCTTGAATTATACAGGATATTGGAGAGATCACATTTCAATTGCTTCAGACAATTTTGGTCTCCTGATTTTAGGATGTAAATTGGGAGGCAGTTCAGGGGAGGTTCACTAGATTTATGCCTGGAATGAGTGAGTGCTTTGTCTTACTGGGAAAGGTTTGACATGCTGGACGTCAATGCACTGGAATTTCAAAAGAATGAAAGGATAATTTGATTGAAGTAATAAAGATCCTGAATGGTTTTGTCAAGATGGATGTGAAAAGCACGTTTCCTTTTGCAGGTAAGTCTAGAACGAGGGAGAAACATTTTGAAATTAGGGATTACCGTTTTAGAACATAGAATCCCTACAGTGTGGGAACAGGCCCTTCGGCCCAAAAAGTCCACAACGAACCTCAAAGCATCCCACCCAGACCCACCCCACTATAACCCACCTAATCTACACAGCCCTGAACAGTACGGGCAATTTAGCATGACCAATCCACCTAACCTGCACATCTTTGGACTGTGGGAGGAAACCAGAGTACCCGGAGGAAACCCACGCAGACACAGGGAGAATGTGCAAACTCCACATAGACAGTGGCCCAAAGGTGGAATCAATCCCAGGTCCCTGGCGTTGTGAGACAGCAGTGCCAACCACTGAGCCACCGTGCTGCCCCTTTACTGCACCTGGTATTCCCAGGCAGTCTCCCATCCAAGCACTAACCAGGCCTGAGTCTGCTTAGCTTCGGAGATCAGACGAGATCGGGCGTTTTCAGACTAGTATGGCCATTTTAGGACAGAGATATGGAGAATTTTCTTCTCTCAGAGGATTGTGCAACTAATGGAACTCTGCCTGAGATCGTGATAAGGGAAGGTCAATGAATATTTTAAGACAGAGGTACTTCGATGATTTTCTCATCCAAAAATAAAAGGTTATTGGGAATTCAGAACACAAACACAACAGCCATTTTTGAAGGTGGAAACTTGGTCAGGGAGCCAAACAGCCTACTTCATACATATATTTGTATAAAATTACCACCTAAATTCATATCTATAACTGATAAAACATTATATCCAAGTCTGTGAATGCCAATGCACATACATAAGACTTTATGTTTCAGGATTCCCCAATTTATTTATGCACGACTGAATTAATTTTGCAGTGAATTTAACATTGTAATGCCGTGGTAGGCAATGTGTGCACAGCAAAGTCCCGCAAACAGCAATGCAAGAATAACCAAATTATATACTCAAGCAATGTTGGTCTTTCACAACCCAACAGGCAGGCTAAGCCTCAATTTAAATTCTCAACTTGTAGACATGTACTCCAGCAGTGTAGCATTCAGTCAGTACTACACTTGAATGTCAATTTAGATGTTTTGTTGAAGTATCCTGGAGTGAAAATTGAACACAGATTCAAAGAAAAGCATATTACCAATGATCAAAAGAAGCTTTGTAACGTTTTACTTTCATTAGTTTTATTCATTTTTCATTGGCATCTTATTGCCCATTGCTAATTACCCTTGAGAATTTGTGGTGAGCTATCTTCTTGAACTGTTGCAATCTTCACATTTAGGCACTCACAAGAGTGCTATTATGTGAAGAATTAGATTAATTTTTCTGCTCAATAGAAATTTTAACTATAGGATCAAGTCTTAGGTTCATGGTCATTGAGAGATGCATTAAGTATTTTACATGAGTGCACATCTAATGGTTGGTCTTAGGTGCTAGGGTTAGTGACGAAAACCAGTTCATGACAATAATTTTAGAAAGTTAGATGTTGCAACGAGGAAACAGGACTGATTTTCTGATAAGTCCGAAAGAGTTTTCTTCATTAACACATTTTTCGGTTCTACAGTATACTCTAGTGATGACATTTACAAACTATATTTAAAATTGCCAAATACAACAAATAAAAATCAGTGAAAAGAACAGTATCACAAGTTACGCGAACATTATGCAAGTATGCTGTCATCTAACAAAACAACTGAAAGACAGAACTGGCACAGTTAACAAAAAGATAATAGGTGCGGTGGGGGGGGGGGGGGGGGGGGGGGTCCCCCCCCCAAGTATTGCTAAAAATGATACATGGGAACACCACCACCTTCAAATTCCCCCTCCAGGGCACTCACCATCCTGACCTGGAAATATATTGCTGTTCCTTCACTGTTGCTGGGTCAATATCCTGCAATTCCCTCCCTAATGGCATTGTGGGTCAACCCACAGCAGGAGGACTGCAGCGGTTCAAGAAGGCACCTCACCACCACCTTCTCAAGGGCAACTAGGGATGGGCAATAAATGCTGGCCAGCCAGCAATGTCCACATCCCACATATGAATAATGAAAAAAAGAGAGCAGGGTTTGGCAGGGATACCCAAGACCTAATGGAACAAGGGAAAAGGTGATAGATATATATTAGTCAGTGGTTAACTGGGTGTATCAATACAAGGAGCAAGTAATCAGCATGAATAAAGTTTGTGATATGTCAGCTAGAAATGAAAAACTGACTAGACAGTGGCCCACGAGTGGCTGATTGATTAAGGTTTATTTTTAAAGAACAGGACTAACCAGCACTTAATCTTTGGTACTTAACATAGCTGACATAGGACAGAGCCAAATCGTGTTGGTGTGACCAATTTTTGATTTTCTTTTTGCAGTGATGATAGGAATTCAAACTGAAAAAATATTGTTTCTTGAAACAAAACGGAATTTATGAAGGATGCTATTGGAAGAACGATAAACAAGTGTACTCCATGAAAGAGGTAAAACAATTAAGTCCATATATGAAGTACATAAATGGAATCCACTAGTGATTTGCAAAAAAAAGGGAAAATTTTAAAAAAAATACAATTGTTTTGTTGTGTGTTCAGTCAGACTATTTATTGGATGCAGCTTTTGTACTAATACAAAACTCCTTTTAAGTGGGCAGTTAAATTGATGTTTTCAACTTTACCAAAGACAGAACTCAGGAAGTGAATGATGGTTTAATACTAGTTGTCTAAAATAGTTGACATGTAAAGTGATAGTTTTGAAAATTGTTAGTCAAACTCTTCACCATATTACCACCAGTATTTCACTCAGATGAGGGGCACTTGTGGTGCAGTGGTAGCATCTATTCATGATATTTATGAATAAGCAGTATGATGAACAAAATAAATTATCCTTACCTTAGAATATTCCTTTCTTCGATCAGCCTACAAGATTAAGAAAAATAAAGCCATCATTAAAGACAATAGTTGCAATAAAGATCAACCAATTGAAAAAACTCTAAATGTTCCCTGGAGGCACATAACTATCTATGCAGATGAAATCAAAAGTTTATTATAAAAAAAGTACAAAAATCCTTTCATCCTTAAAAGAGCTTAACTTACCATAACTAGCATCAAGTTCATGGCATTGATCCCATTTAATCAATAGTAAAAAAGAATTAATCACATCTTCATATTTCACAATGATTATGAAAGTAGAAGGTCTTTTGTAGTGGCAAGCTTATTGTGCCATGGGATAATAGTACAGATTCTTCTCATAACATCCAAGTTCAGATGGATCATTAAGATATAACAACAAATAATGCCACCCTTCACTGCTCTAATCTATTTATCTCATGCCCTGAATGGCAATAATTGTTGGCAAAGCCCATCCTAATTCTCCTCGAGGAGGGGAGAGCTACCTTTTTGAACCACCATGCTGCAAGGACAAGAACTACAGGTTTTTGACCCAGCATTCGGGTCACAAAAGGTTATAAACTTGGAAACAAATAAACCGAATATACTTTGATGCAAGTAACATCTGACAGGAAAACAACAGATGTATCTACATTCATTCATTGTTACAGCTTGGCTCAGCATATTAATGACAGAGAATATCTAAAACAATTCTGGTAACATGACAGAATATTTAATTTAAGCATATCTCATGTATAACTACAAAAACATCAAGAAGGTTGACAAAAATAGAGCCTCTGATAACCATATTCTATACCAAATCAAGTTCTCCAATAAAATACTGCTTCAGCATCTCTCTGGCATCAGATGAATGGCCAACATCTTCAAAGCTTTCTGTGGCATCTCCTCCAGCTTGTTCAAAGAGTACCTCCTCACCACCAGGATGCTACAGTATAAATAAGTCATGAAAAATAAAAGAGTGGTTACAATTCAAAATTGACTTTCATATCTAAACCAACTCGATGATAGATAATCAAGATTTTATTCTTAACTGTCATCAGAATTTCAATATTTTCCTTATTAATAAGTAATGACTATTCCAAATCTATTTCTGGTTACATATTTGCATACTTGCAATCCACAATGCTGAAGTGTGACAATCATCCACCATTTATGATATTAGTAATCCCACTTTAACAGGTCTAATCAGGATTGAAGGATAGATCAGGTCGGTACAGACTTTTCAACAAACTGTTTGTTCGTATTGTGTTGATAGTTGAGCTCGAATAACTGGATTTAAGTTAGGTTAAAACACACTTCAAAGCAGATAAACAGATGTACTGTGCTCTGTTATACTGTAGGGGATAATGGAATGTCAATTACTGAAAAATATTCTGGAAAATGTGAGATTTGGGTAGAATATAAGGCTCTTTTGCATTACATAGCAGAAGGAATTAATAATTAAAAAGTTATCATGGATTGGTAAGTAGTCATGTATTCTTCCAAAATGTAATAAATAGCCTAAGATGTTCCTGAGCCTGCATAATGAACGATGACACTGACCTATTTTTGTTTAGCACATTTAACACAGTTCACATCTATTTCCTACCAGTTCGCATATCTGTCTAAATATATCTTAACCATTTCTATTGCAGAGTGCTTCTACCATCTCCACAGGTAGCACACATTCCAGGGACCTACTACCTTCGGTGTAAAAAAAAACTTACTTTGTATATCTTTAAACTTTCCTCCTTTCACCCAAACGTATGCCTCCAGTATTTGACAATTTCATCCTGGGAAAGAGACTGACTACCCACTTTATCCTTGCCTTCATAATTTTATGTATCACTATCATCCCTCAGTCTCCAACAGTGTAGCAAAAAAGCCTCTCTGCTCCTATGATGCTGCTTGGCCTGCTGTGTTCATCCAGCCCTGCACCTTGTTGTCTCGGATTCTCCAGCATCTGCAGTTCCTACTATCTCTGATTCAAGTTTGTTCAACCTCACCTTTTAGCTAATACACTACAATCTAGGCAACATACTGGTAAATCTCTTTTGCACCTTCTCCAAAGCCATCCTTACTATTGTGTGGTGACCAGAACTGTACACAATACTCCAAATGAGGCCTTACTAAAGTTATATACAGCTGCAACATGACTTGTCAACTTTTATACTCAACGCCCTCACCAATGAACGCAAGCATGCTGTATGCCTTCTTTATCACTTTATCCCCATGTTGCCACTTACGAGGAGCAATGGGACATGCATCCCAAGATCCCTCTGTATATCAATGCTCCTAAGGGTCCTGCCATTTCCTGTATACTTTCCTCCTGCATTTGACCTCCCAAATCACATCACCTCACACTCGCCTGGATTAAACTCCATCTCCCATTTCTATTCTCAACTTTCCAACTGATCTACTTCATAGATCACAGATCATCGTAGATCATAGAATCTCTATAGTGTGGAAACAGGCCCTTCAGCCCAACAAGTCCACACCAACCCTCAGACATCCCACTCAGACCCATCCCCCTATAACCCTCTTAATCTACACATCCCTGAACAGTACGGTCTATTTAGCATGGCCAATCCACCTTTCCTACACATCTTTGGACTGTGGGAGGAAACCAGAGCACCTGGAGGAAAACCACACAGACAAAGGGAGAATGTGCAAACTCCACACAGACGACTTGCCCGAGGGTGGAATCGAACTCAGGTCCTTGGCGCTGTGAGGCAGCGGTGCTAACCACTGAGCCACCGTGCCACCCCTGCTACCCCTGCTACCCCTGCTGTACATCCTGCTGTATCCTTTGACAACCTTCCTCACCATCCATAACTCCACTAATTTCTGTGTCATCTCCCAACTTACTTATCAGACCACCTACATTTTCATCCAATCATTTACATATAACACAAATTAGAGGTCCCAGCACTGATCCTCGCAGAACACCACTGGTCACAAACCTTCAGTCAGAAACCCTCCCCTCCCAAACAATTACTGTCATTTACATCTAAGCCAATTTTGTATCCAGCTTACCAACTCACCATGGATCCCGTGTGACTTAATCTTCTTGACCAGCCTACCACGACGCACCTTGTCAAATGCTTTAGTAAAGTCCATACAGACGTCAACCACTGTCCTACCCTCAATTATCTTTGTCACTTTCTCAGAAAACACAAATCAAATCTTGACCCTATGAATCTTCTCCAATAATCTTCCTACCACTTGTGTGATGATCAGCAACCTATAATTTCCTGGATTATCCCCCTTGCCCTTCTTAAACAAAAGAATAACATTGGCCATTATCCAGTCTTCTAGGATCCCACAGGAAACTAAAGAGAATACAAAGATCTCTGCCAAAGCTCCAGCATTCTCCTTCCTTAACTGTCTCAGTATCCTGGGAACTTATCTACCTTAAATGCTTTTCAAGACATCCAACACCAGCTCCTTAATATCGACATGCCCTAAAATATTAATATACCCTTCCCAAACCTTGCTATCATTTATGTCCTTTGCCTTGGTGAATACTGATGCGAAGTACTAGCTAAGGACCTCATCCATTTCCACTGGCTCCATGCACAAATTCCCTCCTTTGTCTTTCAGTGAACCAACCTACCTAGCCACCCTCTTGCCCCTAATATATATAAAAAGTACCTTAGGATTCTCCTTAATCTACTTGCCAAGGACATTTCATGGCCCCTTTTAGACCTCCTAATTCCTTGTTTGTCTTTCCTGCTTCCTTACGTTCCTCAAGGGCCTTGTCTAACTTCAGTTTCTTAACCTTTACATATGTTTTCTTTTTCATTTTGACTAAGCTTTCACTAGCTCTTCATCCACGGTTCCCAAAACTTGCCATCCTTATCTTTCATCCTCACAGGAACATACTAGTCCTGAATTCTGATCAACTTTATAAAGACTCCCATGTGTCAGATGTGGATTTATCCACAAACAGCCACCCCAAGTCTAATTTCTCCAGTTCCTGTCCTAATTAGCCTTCCCCAATTTAGCACTTTCACCAGAGGACCAGTCTTATCCTTATCCATAACTATCTTAAAACTTACAGAATTAAATGCTCCCCTACTGAAACCTCAATCTTCTAGCCAGGCTCATTCTCCACTACAAGGTCTAGTGTGGCCTCTTCCCTAGTTGGACTATCTACACATTGTTTCAAGAATCCTTCGAGTATGCACCTAACAAATTAATCACTGGAATAAATATCTAATGTTTCTAAAATTTAAAAGGTAATGTCTAAATCTCATTTTCATATTCTTTCATAAAAATCCAAAGGGATTCTACGAATACATTAAGGACAAAAGAGTAACCAGGGAGAGAATAGGGCCCCTCAAAGATCAGCATGGCCACCTACATGGGGAACCACAGGAGATGGGAGAGATACAAAATAAGTATTTTGTATCAGTGTTTACTGAGGAGAAGGGGAAATAAATAGCGACATCTTGAAAAATGTCCAGCAGGAGCAGGTGGACGTCTTAAAACCCATAAATATCAATAAATCCCCAGAACCTCTTCAGATGTATCCGAGAACTTTGTGGGCAGCTAGGGCAGTGATTACTGGGCCCCTTGCTAAGATATTTACATCATCGACAACCGCAAGCGAGGTGCCGGAAGACTGAACGTTGGCTAACAAGTGCCACTATTTAAGAAAGGTGGTAAGGAAAAGCCAGAGAACTGTAGAGCAGTGAGCCTAACATCAGTGGTGGACAAGTTGTTGGAAGGAATCCTGAGGGACAGGATTTACATTTCTTTGGAAAGGCAAGGACTGATTAGGAATAGTCAACAAGACTTTATGCATGGGAAATTATGTCTGACTAACTTGATTGAGTTTTTTGAAGTAACTAAGAGAATTGACGAAGGCAGAGCAGAGGATGTATTCTATATGGACTTCAGTAAGGCATTCAACAAGGTTCTGCATGGTAGACTGGTTAACAAGGTTAGATCACATGGAATACAGGGAGAACCAACTGTGCGAATACAGAATTGGCTCAAAGGTAAAAGACAGAAGGTGGTGGAGGGTTGCTTTCCAGACTAGAGGCCTGCGACCTGCGGTGTGCTGCAAGGATCAGTGCCAGGTCCACTGTTTTTGGTCAATTATATAAATGATTTGGATGTGAACATAGGAGGTACAGTAGTAAGTTTGCAGATGACACCAAAATTCGTGGTGTAGCGGAAAGTGAAGAATGTTACCTCAAAGTACAACAGGATCTTGATCAGATGGGCCGAGGAGGGACAGATGGAGTTTAATTTAGATAAATGTGAGGTGTTGCATTGTGAAAAGGCAAAACAGGGCAGAACATATCCACTTAATGGTAAGGTCCTGGGGGTGGTTGCTGAACAAAGCGACCTTGGAGTGCAGGTTCATAGTTCCTTGAAAGTGGAGTCGCAGGTATGCTTGCCTTATTGGTCAGTGGATTGAGTGTAGGAGTTGAGAAGTCATGTTGCGGCTGTACAGGATATTGGTTAGGCCACTTTTGGAATACTGCAGTCAATTGTGGTCTCCCTGCTAATAGGAAGGATGTTATGGAACTTGAAAGGGTTCAGAGAAGATTTACAAGGATGTTGCCAGGATTGGAGGGTTTGAGCTACAGGGAGAGGCTGATTAGGCTGGGGCTATTTTCCTTGGATCAGAGGCTAAGGGGTGACATTATAGAGCTTTAAAAATCATGAGGGACATGGATAGGGTGAAAAGCCAAGGTCTTTTTCCTAGGGTAGGAGAATCCAAAACCAGAGGGAATAGATGTGAGGTGAGAGGGGAAAGATTTAAAAGGGACCTAAGGGACAACTTTTTCACGCAGAGAGTGGTGCATGTATGGAATGAGCTGCCTGAGGAAGTGGTGGAGGTTGGTACAGTTAATACATTAAAAGGCATCAGAATGGATATGTGAATAGGAAAGGTTTGTAGGGATGTGGGCCAAATGCTGGCAAATGTGACTAGATTAATTTAGGATCTCTCGTCAGCACGGACGAGTTGTACCAAAGGGTGTGTTACCATGCCGTACAGCTCTATGACTCTATAAAAGCATTTCTACCAAAGCAAAGAATATTGGTATAAGGAATAGATTTTTCTCTCTCTTTCAGTACCTTTCATTGCTCGAAGCACAATTAACAGCATGAATTAAAGATGACGGTCAACTATTTACTGTGAACTGATACAACAGATAATTATGCTCTATCATGTTAAAACCTAAGTTCTATCGTGATTTCACTAAAAATCCAACTGCAAAATGATAAAAGTTCTTGCCCTTCGAGAATAAACCAAATTTTTTAAAATAATCTGACAAAAGTGTATACAATCAGCTGTTTCGCTTACTACATTTAAGATTTAAAAATACTTCATTTACCTGCAGTCGCAATATTGTACACTTAGAACTAGGCCTAGTCCTGCAAAACAAACCATGAACATGAATCTCACCTCCTCCAGAAATTTAGTGACATCGTACACTTTGTCGTGTATCACAAGCCATGTGGACTTGCTGCTGTTGTGAGTTTTCACATCTTCCATCGTTATATAATTTACAGTCGGCTCGCAACCGATCTTATCCTTTGACTCGCCCATTGTATACCCCTCGCCGCTGCCTGACATACTCGCCCGCTCACTCGGTCCTTCCCGCAATGACTATCGACACCCCGATGGCTGAGTGCGATCCTATCCGGCACCCGCACGCGAACGTCACCCTCACGTGACCTTACCGAGGGGTCTCCGTTGGCAACAGCCAATTGCAAGCGGGGATCACCACGCCGGTCGAACACATCAGGCGATCCTGCAGCGTCACGTGACCGGATTACTGTCTTCCCAATGGACAGTCGGTTCTTCGTTGGAGCGGAGAGATAAATTGTTCCGAACAGGTCGTAGTTCACCCCGATTGGTCTTGTATTTTGTTCTTTGCAAGTCAACTTTCACAGTACGACAATTAATAAGCCTTGACAACAAGGTGCAGGGCTGGATGAACACAGCAGGCCAAGCAGCATCATAGGAGCAGAGAGGCTGACGTTTCGGGCCTAGACCCTTCATCAGAAAAGGGGGAGGGGAAGGGGGTTTTGAAATAAATAGGGAGAGAGTGGGAGGCGGATAGAAGAGGGATAGCGGAGAGGATAGGTGGAGAGGAAACAAACAGGTCGAAGAGGCGGGGATGGAGCCAGTAAAGGTGAGTGTAGGTAGGTAGGTAGGGAGTTAGGAAGGGGATAGGTCAGTCCAGGGAGGACGGACAGGTCAAGGGGGCGGGATGAGGTTGGTCGGTAGGAGATGGAGGTGCGGCTTGAGGTGGGAGGAGGGGATAGGTGGGAGGAAGAACAGGTTAGGGAGGCAGGGACGAGTTGGACTGGTTTTGGGATGCGGTGGGGGGAGGGGAGATTTTGAAACTTGTGAAATCCACATTGATACCATTGGGCTGCAGGGTTCCCAAGCGGAATATGAGTTGCTGTTCCTGCAACCTTCGGGTGGCATCGTTGTGGCACTGCAGGAGGCCCAGGATGGACATGTCGTCTGAGGAATGGGAGGGGGAGTTGAAATGGTTCGCGACTGGGAGGTGCAGTTGTTTGTTGCGAACCGAGCGTAGGTGTTCTGCAAAGCGGTCCCCGAGTCTCCGCTTGGTTTCCCCGATGTAGAGGAAGCCACACCGGGTACAGTGGATGCAGTATACCACATTGGCAGATGTGCAGGTGAACATCTGCTTGATGTGGAAAGTCTTCTTGGGGCCTGGGATGGGGGTGAGGGAGGAGGTATGGGGGCAGGTGTAGCACTTCCTGCGGTTGCAGGGAAAAGTGCCGGGTGTGGTGGAGCTGGAGGGGAGTGTGGAGCGGACAAGGGAGTCACGGAGAGAGTTGTCCCTCCGGAAAGCAGATAAAGGTGGGGAGGGAAAGATGTCTTTGGTGGTGGGGTCGGATTGCAGATGGCGGAAGTGTCGGAGGATGATGCGTTGGATCCGGAGGTTGGTGGGGTGGTACGTGAGGACGAGGGGGATTCTTTTTTGGTTTTTATTGCGTGGATGAGGTGCGGGAGATGTGGGAGACACGGTTGAGGGCGTTCTCGACCACTGAGGGGGGGAAGTTACGGTCCTTGAAAAACGAGGACAACTGAGATGTACGGGAGTGGAATGCCTCATCCTGGGAGCAGATGCGGCGGAGGCGAAGGAATTGGGAATAGGGGATAGCATTTTTGCAGGAAGGTGGGTAGGAGGAGGAGTATTCTAGGTAGCTGTGGGAGTCGGTGTGGATTTCACAAGTTTCAAAATCTCCCCTCCCCCCACCGCATCCCAAAACCAGTCCAGCTCGTCCCTGCCTCCCTAACCTGTTCTTCCTCCCACCTATCCCCTCCTCCCACCTCAAGCCGCACCTCCATCTCCTACCGACCAACCTCATCCCGCCCCCTTGACTTGTCCGTCCTCCCTGGACTGACCTATCCCCTTCCTAACTCCCTACCTACACTCACCTTTCCTGGCTCCATCCCCGCCTCTTCGACCTGTTTGTTTCCTCTCCACCTATCCTCTCCTCTATCCCTCTTCTATCCGCCTCCCACTCTCTCCCTATTTATTTCAAAACCCCCTTCCCCTCCCCCTTTTCTGATGAAGGGTCTAGGCCCGAAACGTCAGCCTCTCTGTTCCTATGATGCTGCTTGGCCTGCTGTGTTCATCCAGCCCTGCACCTTGTCTCGGATTCTCCAGCATCTGCAGTTCCTACTAGCACTAACTGTGAACTGTGCCACTTGTGGGGCAGGTGCTTAAACAAAGGGGCAGGTGAGGGGTTCTTGAGATTGAGCATTTTTCTCCAAAGTCTCTACTTCACCTCTGTGCGCCTCCTGAAGTTTGTCAATTTATCTTTTCATAGAGGCATACAGCATGAAAACAGGCCCTTTGGTCCAATCAGTCCATGCCAACTATAATCCCAAACTAAACTATTCCCACCTGCATGCACTTGGCCCATACCCCTCCAAACATTTCTTTCCTAAATAAATCTTCTCCATTTTGGTTAGTTACAAGCTAGGGACTCCAGCACTGATGATTTATATGTGCAGGGTTGTTCCAAATAGAACTCTGAATCACTTCCCACTGTCCTTTGTTCTTGTCTTAAAATTGCACCATTATTCATTATAGGCAAATTAAAAGAAAGATGACAAATATTTTATGCCCACCATTTCTTTTTCATCATTGTAAATTCCTGCATGTGAACAATGCCATATAAAATGTAACTTGCTACTACAAAATGTACTGAAAGAATTTCACCTCCTAGGCTTTTATGTCAAAAAGATTACAAGGTGTGTGTGTGTCTGTAGGAATTCAATTCCAAATTTTCTTTCCTAATTGTGACAATGTCTTTATGAATTTTTCAAATGAAACCACATCATGTCATTCTGTAACAAACTAGCCCCTCTCTGCCCACTACAGGATAAAGTAGGCAATGTTTCAAACAAATGATTTAAGATGGCAAAGTTCTGAAAGAAAATGACCCAAAATATGAAAAAAAAAAAATCAGGGTGATTAAATTTTTGGCCTGTTTAAAAAGCATATAATCAGAAACTTGCTATCACAGTGCCTAAAGGAGTATCACTTACAGGAAAAAAAACATGAAAGAGTAAACTGAAAATAAATCTCATGTACATTGGTTATCTCTATATTTTGTCAGAAATTACTAAAAACTTTGTTTGCTTTGACAGATTAGATCATATTCTCAATATCTAAAGTTTTACTATTTTTGTTCCAGACTGCTTTTGACAACACATTTAGCTAATAAACTCTTGCATCAATGAGGTAAGTAAATCTCAATATCAGTTTGTTGTCTAAATCAGAAAATATCACCAAGCACCATCCAAGAACATAAAGAACTTAAGAAACACAAGCAAGAGGAAGCCATTTGCTTGATAGAGCCTGCTCTTTCATTCATTAAACTCACGGCTGATCTGACCTTAATCTAACTCCTCTTTCCAGACTGCCACTATAATACTTGAACAACGTTCCCTAGGATTTTTCTTGCCAAGGTCCGTGCATGGAAGTAATGTCTGGAACTGAAGTCAATGCATCCATGTTACATGCGGCATGTGAAGATCCATAGTTTAGAGAAAAGGCGGCACTCATATTTTTGATCCACAAGGAAGTTGTCTCTATCACCGTTAGTGTAGGATTCCAACATTCATAACCCAACAGAAGAAATTCTTCATAAACCTTTGGGTCAAAACAGCATTTCCAAGAAATCATGTGACTTAGACTAAATGACTAGACAAGGTGTTTGATGAGATAATTGCTGATGTAATCATTACCATCAGTTTTTACAACCTACATTAGTACAGGCCTGAGGCCACAAGCAAATTCAGTTCAGAACACACTAGCAGAGGAGAACTTTAGTTTTATAAGTTTCCAGGACATCAGAGCTGAAACAAAATCTTCAGTGGTTTCTGCAGTTCAAGTAGACACAGATGGAAAGAGTCTTGGATCTAGAGTTCTGAGAGCAAACATTTGGTGATTTAGTCTATGCCTGTATGTTTCTGAAGAAGCAGAAATGGAGAGAATCACATCTGGTGATTGTACAGAAAACCACAAGAAGAAAATGCCTGCGATCTCATTTGTTAAGTAAGATATTTTAAAGTCATTAGAAGTCAGGCCTCACTGGGATGGAATGCATCAAAAGGATATTATTGGAGAAAAGGATAACTTTTCTTTTGCTTTTTAAGATACTTATATTTGTCAGCGTAGCTCTTTCTTTAAAAAATATTGATGTTGATTTGTTAAAAAGAACATTGGCAGTCCCACGCAAATGGGTTTCAGTGATTGACCACCAGAGTAACTAAACTGCAAAGATAAACCTCATGGTCTATCAAGCATGCTTTCACTCTGGGTTCTGAATTGTCTCCTATTACTGTCAGCTAGGATCATAATCTCCACCTTAAATGGACGAGCTTAATTCTGAAACAATGATATTTGGTCATGGATTCCCCAATGAGAAGAAACTTCATCTCAGCATCTACCCTGTCAAGCCCGCTCAGAACTTTATATGCTTTAGCAAGATATCTCTCATTGTTCTAAACTCCACTGAATATAGATTCAATCAGCTCAACCTTTTGAGTAAACTGGTCTCAGTAAAAAATCTTTCCTCGTAGGAAAACCCTTTCAATTCCAGAAATCATCATGAACCCACACTGAACTGCTTCCAACATAAGTATTTCCCTCCTTAAGCAGTGTCATATATAAATATGTATGAAAAACAATTTCCAAGAAGACAAATGATCCAGTAAAATACCTAACAGGACACATTTTGATGTTAATGGCCAAAAAGGTGAAACTTCTAAGTTTGAGAGACAGAGAAAATGCTATGGTTGGTTCATTCACTGAGCTGGTTCGTTAGTTCACAGATGTTTCATTACCCTGCTGAGTAACATCATCAGTGCAGCCTCTGTTGATGCGCTGTTGTGTTTTCCCACCTGGTATTTAAACTCTGGGGTCCACTGGAATTGGTTACCCCATTTCTGGTTTTTCTTAGCAGTGCAGACAAGACCACAAGACTCCTACAACCATTGGGCATCGGAGTGGCACACGAGACTGCGACAAACATTACATTGGACAGATAAGAAGCAAACTGGCCACAGGAATACATGAACACCAACTAGCAACAAAACGACATGACCAGTACTCACTCGTCTCCATTCACACGGATAAGGAGAACCACCAGTTCGATTGGGACAAGATCAGGATCGTAGGACAGGCCAAATCGAAACAAGCACAGGAATTTCTAGAGGCTTGGTTCTCCAAGAAGGCCATCAATAAACATGTAGAATTAGGCCCGATATATACACACCACTGGGAAGGAAAACCAGAAATTAGGTAACCAATTCCAATGGACTCCAGAGTTTAAATACCAGGCGGGAAAACACAACGGCGCTTCATCGGAGGCTGCACTGATGATATTACCCAGCAGGGTAATGAAACGTCTGCAAACTAACGAACCAGCTCGATGCGCAAACCAACCATAGCTACAAATCTACTCGAGAACCTTAGACAGAGAAAATATACAGATAAGAGATGAGTAGTTTAGTTTTGACTTCAGAATAGAAGAACCAAGTTTAGTTCAGAAGACAGCCTCATCTTAGTAGAAAGGTTTTTGTTTTTGCACCGTAATTTTCAACTATTTGTGGGATACTTTTAGGGCCATATCCTGTGAAGACACATGCAAAATAAACTAATAC